ATAAGGCTCAGTCATTTGGCACATAGAGAACTGACAGATGTAGTGTCCATCACACTGATTTATATTTTTTCCAATTTGTCAAAAATAATCTACATTTTATCTGACAGCTAATTTAGGACTAACAATAAATTCCTCTTCCTGTTCCAATTTCCCATCTGTAGGGGAAGAGTAAGAAATTAAAGGTTCCAAGAAGGGGAAAGTCCTTCCTGAAAATACCATAGTTTCTTTTATATATGTTTTTTTGTCTTGAATGCCTGTGCTGATGCTGCTTTTCAAAGGCAGACTTTTCATCACTAGAGTCCTCCCAGTTACAGGAATTTTACTTTGGCGTTTGGTATGAATCCTGCTTTTTTGTCTGTTTTTCATAGACTTCCACCATTAAGAACATTCCTTTTTATCTTTAAACCTTTCTTTCATTACTGTCACTGGCTGTCCTGTTTCCAGTCTCACTTGCAATGTTAAGTTCCACCAGTCTTCTGACTGTCCCTCCTAAAGCCATAGCCACATTTGCAACCCTCCTTTGACATCTCTCCCATAATACTGCTTTTCTGCACCTCTGAGACTTAAAACCAGACATAAGGGAGAAAAAGGACCAGAACAAACCTAGTGCAAAAGAGACAGATTTCTAGCTTGATCAGTAGCTTGTAGAAAATCTTGCCTCAGCAAGTCATTCAGGAGAGTAAAGACCATTTATCTAGGTCTGTAACATCTGCTCCTAAATCACCACAACGCAGGTGACTGCACTGGCCCATGACTCCAGTGGTTTTGAGTCAGCAGTACAGTCCTCCACTGGTTGTGTCAATCAGTGGAAACTAGAGCTTCCCAGAAATCAGGTGGTGTAGCTTATGCTCACAGCTGAAACAGTCTGTATCTGCTTCTGCATTGGGAATTCTCCATTACACCCTCTCCATGCTGTTACATTTTGTCTATTTGGATGACCTGACTCTGTAGTTTCTATACGCCAATATATTTTCTAAACAAAGCTGAAAGCATGAAAATATGTCGCTCCTCTGGGTTTGCGAGAGATAATAATACCTGCACATCTGCCAGATTGTGTTGCTAGTTACAAGGATGTAAAATGAGAGAAGGTCACAGTAGCTAATGGAATGGTCCCAAGGTTTATCAGTATGAAAGAGAAAAGAATTTAGTGGAGTTTAAAGAGGAGTAATGGTTTCCTCCCTCTCACTGCAGCTGCTTCACCCCGTTTGCTCTTTTTTGCTTGATTATATACAAAAAGAGAAAGTGGACAACTAAGCTAAGTGATGTGTTTTCCAGGGTTGTTGTACCTTGTAACTTGATAATCAACATAATCCAGATTCACTGAGGGAAAGATTTAAAAGGATGTTGGTGACAGATTTCTAATTTGTGAAACCATAGCTATTTCTGTGAAGGTTTTAACATGCAAATAATTAGCTATTTCCCTTTTTTTAAGGAGCCTTTCTGTCCTCACTACACTGATTCTCTAAGTAGAATTTATTATATAAACACTGGTGCTTTGAGAGCTATTCAATCTCTGATTATGTGGTAGACCAAGACAAAAGCATGCAAAATCAATCAATTTATCTAGCTGTCCTGCTCAAATACCGTATGAAACAAAAGAGGTAAAAAAAAAAAAATCGACCAAAGAACTGAAAAAAACACTCCATCTGTGCCTTGTAATCAAGTTAGCAAGTGATATGCTTGTTTTTTAAACCTTTTACATGGATTGGAACAAAACACACTGTTTTGGAAAACAGGCCATTGTATAGATGGAATTGTGTGCCGTTTAAAGTATGAAGGTGTTTAACTTCCTGACACCTTTTCCCCTGCAACAGAAGTTTTACTGATTTTGGTCATCTGCATTTGCAAGAAGCTGGCAAGGAGCAGTAGCATTCTGGACATAACTAGTGACTTTCTGTCAGTTTTTGCGTACAATTTGCAAAGCATTTTCTGAACCCTGTGGATAAAAGAGATTAGACTGAAGCTGAAACTTGTTACAAATGCACTAGAAAATCCAGTCAGGATTCAACTTGTTCTTCTGTGGGCTGAACTGTGAAAAATCAAGAAGTAAATCCTGCTAGAGATTCAGAGAATAAGTGTGTCACTGGTCTTTAACTGACTTGAAAGAAGAGCAAATCTTACCCACAGATTTTTTTTTGTAACATTAAAACGACTTTTCTTTAGCTGAAGAGAATCTTTTATTGATTGAAATTCTAGTAATTTGAAATTTTCCCATCAGTAATTTGTGTGTTTGTAGAGTGCTTAACATTTTTGTCTTTCAAATACTTAATTTTTGTTCAGTGGATTAGTTTGGGAGTTATACAGAAGCTGTTTTATTGACCATCTAAATTTCACGTGTAGGAGACTGACTTTAAAGTTCCTGGAGAAATAATGGCTTGAGTAAATAGTCTGTCTCATTTATTATCTCTGCAGTGCCACATATACCAGTTTAGTAGTGATCAAAAATCCTCAGCAGAGGTGTTTTTTTACTGATTGGTGTGAACTGATGGGCATTCTCAGGCCCTGGGGTTTCTGCTCTTTGGCCCCTGGTTCATAGTTTCACATAAAGGCTAGGAATGTGTAGACATGTAAGCTTTTCTCATATCCCGAAGAAATATGGGACATATTGTTAATGCAGAGATAAAAATGTATTATGTTTTCTTGTGGGTCTTTGGTCTCCAGAGCAAGTGATACATTGCCAATACCAGAATCACCAGAAAAGAAGGTGGAAGAATTTTCACTGTATTAAGAGGTTGTTCCAAAACTGGAAAGAAAGTGTGGAATATAAACATCTAAATGAATATCTAGATGAATAATTCATATAAGGAATCCTAAAAAGTTGGATTTTTACTGTTTCCTCTGAAAAGAATCAGTAGTTTAGGGACAGTGGAGTGGGTGAGGATATTTCAAGGTGGCAGAGAAAGTATTTGGTTATCCCTAGATTATATCTAGTATAGGAAAGGGGGCATCAAGATGTTATTAGGACTGTATTATGAAGCAGCTGCATGAAAAGGAAACTGAAGTTCCTAACATTATACAGCATAAACCAATGTAGCTGGTATTTGAGCTGTAGCAAGCCTCTTCAAATACAATCCTTATATGCAGTCAAAGAAAGATATAAAAACTGTTTGATAAATCTAATAGACCCTTTCCATATAGCTTCTTCAGTATTTTTTCTTTTCCTCCCAAAAGCATCATCATGTGATCAAGAACTTCAGTCAGCCCTGGAGGAAGCTAAACAGCCTCAGAAAGACAATGTGTTCATTCCAGAGTGTGCTCAGGGCGGCCTCTACAAACCAGTGCAGTGCCATCCTTCCACGGGCTACTGCTGGTGTGTTCTGGTGGATACGGGACGTCCCATTCCTGGTACATCAACCAGGTAAGGGAATACACGTTCAGTGCTCAAAAGTTGTAGTGAGAAGATGCCTTAGTGTGCATGTACTAGCATGTAGATTTCTATTGCTGGTGGAATTATGTCATGTAAGTTTCTTCCACTATGAGGTGAAATATTTCTAAGAGACATCAAAAGTTAGGGCTGGATGGCCACAGACTCTTTCACTGCAATGTCACAGGCAGTTTGCTCCCCTAGTCCTCTTTTTTACCTCTATTTTCTGCTGGGAAGCCAAGACTTGGAGCAGATAATGAATAAGCCCAAAGGAAACCTCACACTCCTTAGCCTGAATATAGAAGAACCAAGTAAGATGGTCTATGACAGAAACCACGTCCAATTTCAGAAATGTTTGGTTCTTTTTCCAGCAACGTCCTCAGCTATTTCATATGACTAGATTTGATGGAACAACTGCTTGGGAGCCCATAGAGAGGAAATATCATCTTAGTGTGTTATTAATAGAAGCTTGGAGTTCAGTCTTCTCAGCTGAGCTGGATACATGGTAAAGTGTTGCAGGCGACATAGAGCGTATGTAGGCAAGGCAAGTATCAGGTTCCAAAGGGTGTTATTTAGGCTGGTTATTGAGGTTTGGCCCTTGTAGGAATGCTATAGAAGCTCATATAAAGCTGGCAGGCAGTATGGGTATCTTGATGCAACCATAAATCTTTTCAAGCTTAAGCAAAAATCATTTTTTATAATTTGCGTAAGGTTTGTGAAAAAAACATTATAAGCCACTTGCTGTAAAGTATTGTATTCTTGGGGAGTGTTTTTCACATATTCTTCAAGTGCTGATTTACTGATAGCTGTTTATACGATAGTCTAGACCATGCCAATTACAGTACCAGCTGAAGTAAGCATGACTTAAAGTTACTGTTGATCTGCTGTTTCTGGTAAGTTGAGATCCATAAACTGTCAAAACAAAATAGTCCAAATTTGGTCCTGAAACTGTAGGATCAGTACACATATTGTGTGAGGACCTAGAGATGTCCTCTAGAGATTCCAGAGGCTCCCTTTTCTGCTCTTCGTCTGTTCTCCACCCCTAGGTTTGTTCACTGTTTCTTGTTTTTAGTGCTAATCCTTCTTTGAATTAAAGTTCAAATCATTTTATGGAGCCTTAGTTCCTACTCTCTAATTTGAGCCCAAATCATCTTCTTGTGCTCATCAAGCAATGGGGTTTCTGCTGATTGTTTTGTAGTTCGTCTTTACAAGTACCATTTTATTATAGAATCACAGAATAGTTGAGATTGGCAGGGACCTCTGGAGATTCTCTAGTCCAACCTCTCTACTCAAAGCAAGGTCAGCTAGGGTAGATTGCTCAGGACTGTGTCCAGTTGGCCTTTGAATATCTCCACGATTGGAGAGTCCACAGTGTCTCTGGGCAGCCTGTTCTAGTGTTTGATCACCATCACAGTTAAAAAACAAAAGTTTTTTCTTACGTTTAAATGAAATTTCCAGTATTTCATTTTGTGCCCATTGCCTCTTTTCCTGTCACTGGACTGGAAACAGAGTCAGAGTCTGACTCTGTTTTCTTTATTTCCTGCCCTTTGGATATTTATAGACATCAATAAGATCCTCCCTGAGCCTTCTCTTCCAGGCTGAACAGTCCCAGTTCTCTCACCCTTTCCTTATTATGTCAAATGCTCCAGTCCCTTAATCATATTAATGGCCCTTTGCTAGACCCACTCCAGTATGTCCATGTCCCTCTTGTTTGGGGAGCCCAGAGATGGACCCAGCACTCCAGATATGTCTCACCAGTGCGAATGAGAGGGGAAGGATGACCTCCCTTGACCTGCTGGCAATACTCTTCCTAATGCAGCCCTGGAGGCTGTTGGCCTTCCTTGCTGCAAAGGCACATTGCTGCCTCATACTTAGCTTAGTGTCCCTCAGAAATCCCAGGCCCTTGCCTCAAAGTTGCTTTCCAGCTGGTTGGCCCCATCCCATGCTGGTGCAGGGGGTTAATCTTCCCCAGGTGTGGGAATTTTGCTTTTGCCTTTTTTTGAACTTCATGAGATTCCTACCAGCCCATTTCTCCAGCCTGTTGAGGTCCCTCTGCATGGCAGCACAACCTTCTGGTGTATCAGCCACTCCTCCCAATTTTGTATCAGCTGCAAACATGCTAAAGTCGTTCTCTGTCCCAGCATCCTGGTCATTAATGGAGAGGTGAAACAATAATGGCTCTAGTATTGGACTCTGGGGCACTCCATTGGTGACTGGCTTCCAGCTGAAATTTGTACTGCTGATCCCAACTCTTTGAGACTGGCAGTTCAGCCAGTTTTCAACACACCTCACTGTTTGTTTATCTAGCACATACTTCATCAGTTTGTCTATGAGAATGTAGTCAGAGGGAGTGTCAAAAGCTTTGCTAAAATTAAGATAGACAATATCTGCTAGGCACTGAGCAAGTCATCTCATCATAGAAGGCTGCAGGGTTGGCCAAGCATGATTTCCTCTTCATAAATCCATGCTGACTACTCTCAGTCACCTTCTTGACCTTCACATGTTTTGAAATAGCTTCTAGGAGGATTTGCTGACTGGCTTGTTATTCGGCTCCTCCTTGCCCTTCTTGAAGACAGAAGTGACATTTGCTTTCTTCCAGTCCCCACGAACCTCCCCCAGTCACTACGACCTTTCAAATATAATTGAGAGTGGCTTCACAATGACATCAGCCAGCTCCCTCAGCACTTGTGGGTGCATCCCATCAGGTCCCATGGATTTGTTAGGTCCAGTTTGTTCAAACAATCCCTGACTTGATCCTTCTCCACCAAGAGTAAGTCTTCCTTGCTCTAGACTTTATTACTGGTCTCAGGGACCTGGGATTCCTGAAGACTGGTCTTACAAGTAAAGACCAAGGAGAAGAAGGCACTGAGTACTTCTGCCTTCTCTATGTCCTGGGTCCCCTGTCCCACCCAGCAGCAGGCCCACATTTTCCCAGTCTTCTTTTTGCTGCTGATAGGCGTGTAAGAAGTCTTTCTTGTTGCCCTTCATGCCCCTTACCAGATTTAGATCCAGGGGGCTTTGGCTTTCCTAACCCCATCCCTGCACACTTGGACAGTGTCTGTATATTCCTCCTGTATCACCTGACCCTGTTTCCACTCTTTGTGTGCTTCCTTTTTAAGTGTGGATTTTGTTAGGTGCTCCTTGTTCACCTGTGCAGGCTTCCTCCCACATCATGCACATCGGGATAAACCATTCATGAAACTGGAGGTGGTGATTCTTGAAAATCAAGCAGCTCACTTTCCTACTCATATGTACAGTGTGCATGCAGTGTGTGTGATTTTGGCTTCTACTGTCATACAGACTGGAATTCTAGGTCTTTCCAACCCCTCGATGAATCACCTATGGATCTAGAATCAGCCTCCGTCTTCTTTTTTTCCTGTTTGGTCTGCTGGCCTCCTGTGTTTGGCAACTACACAGTCACTCAGCTGTGGGAGAAGAGGTGGCAGGGAGGTCTTTCACTGTGCTGCATGTCTCCAAAGTTGGAAGGCTGGCAAATCGGATTCAATCGTTTCATGCATATGATTTAGACACAAATCTTCCTTTTGCTCAATGAGTGCTCTGCCTGATGACTGATATTCAAAAGATCAACTGCTGTGGTCTTGACCATTTCTAATTTGTTCAGCTTTGCTGGATTTACGGGCAGTTCTCAATGGAGCTCTGAGGAAGTAATATTTAGTAATATCCCTGGAGAGGACATTTCTGAGCACAGATGGGTAAGTAGAGTACTCAATTTTAGGAGTTTCATACTAAAAAAAGAATGACTGGTGTATTTAGGAATCTACAGTCCTGGTAAACAAGCAGGTGGGATTACTGCTTGGAGTTTAAGAGAAGTGTCTAGACCTCATTTCTGGGAAAGATTTAGGTGGGCTGGAATCCCATTAATTATTTCTTGATTTTATTTTTTTTCCTATATTGATAAAATTAAGCTTTTTTTCTCAAGCAGAGGGAAGTAAAGGGGGATCAGACTATGATGAGATATATGCAGTTGTCTTTTTGTGATTCTTTCTTACAGATTGGAAAGGGTGAACATGTGGGTCTTTCCTAGTTTAAAGAACCAGGGGCTCATGCAAAATGGTGTATGCTATCTTCCAGCTTTCCACTGCAAAATATAAATTAGAAGAGTAGCTGTTAAAACTCTACTGCAGGAACTGATAGCATTAGTACTCCTGCTAGCAAGATGGATGCATTGCATCCTGGAATCTCTGTTCTGCAAATCTGGATTGAATCACTAGGGGACAACAGTGAAAGGATAGACAGATCTGGGAAGCTGTTGCCAGAACAGCTTAGCATTTTGCATGTTGTTTGTTTTGAATACATTCATGAGACTGAAATTTGTCATATCATCAGGCTCTGAATACCACAATAAATAGTAGTCACATTAAACTAGACCCCCAAAATGAAGAGAAGTTATGAATACTCATTCATCTTCTACTGTCCTGTCATCTGAAAAAAAGATAAAACATTTGTCAGTGAAGGTATTCCAGAAAAAAAATCTCATTCTAGAGTTAAAATAAAGATACCACTCTAGGACATTTAAGACAGTAAAACTCACAAGAAATAGGTGAAGTTGTGGTATAAAGCTGGCTTTTATGGAAGCCTAGAGGAAACATCCATTTGACTAAAAGGAGGTAATGCATTTAAAGGGTACAAACAACCATTCCCCCAAAAGTCTATCAGTGTGGTCCTCACCAGCTGGCTCCCAATGCCTCTTGCACATCATAGTGTAACCCTCAGCCTTTTTGCTCAGCAGGGCCATAAGTCTGAGTTCTCACATGCGGCTTTTTAGCAACTAGGATCATGGGCAAAGTAATCCCCAATCCACTTGCACAAGATTCTCTAAACTTAAACAAGAACATAAATCAGCTGCTTCATGAAGCTGCCCACACTGTAGAATCCCTGTGAAAGCCTCCATCCTCTACTGCTTTGTATATCCCAGTAAATCTCAGTGCTTCCCAGCAGACTGCTCAGAGGTATAAAGCAGCTTTCATAAGCCCTTGCCGACTCTACGTATACATTCACTGGTAGGGATTCTTTCCCCTTTAAAATTCAAAAGAGTAACTTGGGATGTCTTTTGACTACATTATTTTTAACCTGACAGTGCTCCATTCTGACATGCTATCCCTTTCCTCCTCTTTCCCCATGAAAACTGAGGCAAGTGTGTTTTTCTTATCAGTTCTTAGCATGGCTGTTCCTGTGTGGTAAATTTCTAATGATTTTCTTTCTTCAGTTGCTTTAAAGAGTTAAACATAGACTTTTCACATTGCAGCATTTTAACACCTATTGGCCTTTAATAGATTTAGTTTGTATGTGATGAACTACATGTGTATTTAACAAAAATATAAGCCAAAAGGGTAGAAGAGTAGAGGCCAAAAAAGAAAGTGTAGGCACAGAGCAGTAACAATAACGGAAGAGGACGAGGGGAATGCAGAGTCAGGTATCAGATTAATTGGGGACCGGGCTGGTTGCCAGATACTGCATTAGTGAGTATTGCTCAGAGATTTCCCTTTCACTCTTTTCTTGGCTGATTGAAGTGGTCATCCATCAGGTATCTGAATCCAACCCATGCTATCAAAGCAGTTTTTTTTTGTTCTTTAGGGAAAAAAAGTGCCTCTAGCTCTCCCATGTCCATGAAACAACACTGTACCTTCTTGCAGCAGCCAAAATTTGATGGGCCAGTGGACAGTTTCATCAGATGATGTGGAAATAAATTAAACACTCGAAGGAAAAATAATATTGATATTTTTCATTCTACCTGATAATTAAGATCAGAATACTTAGGTATTGTTCTTAGGGGCAGTCTGGCCTGGACCCAGGACATAGCCACCATTTAATGCTTTTAAAAAGAATATTTTGTTCCAAAAATTTGGATTAGTATATTTTAATCAGACATTTTAGTATGCCACTCAGTAAATGTCATTTTGGGAAACTTAGAATAGGAGAATTTCGAAGAAAGATGAGCAGTTATATAAAATATGAAAGAACCTAGAGTCCGTGAACAGGTATGTATGTGCACACACATGTAGGTGGACACAAGTCATATTACTAAGTGTGTTTAGCTGAGAATTGAAACTTTCTCTGAAATGCTACACACTAAATTCTGCAGCTTCAAGCTACTTTAGGGGAATGAAAGTAAAATTTCTCAGAAGGAGATTCTGTCAAGCTGAGTGAAAAACCACCATGCATCGATAGTGGGACATAAGACAAAAGGACAGATTCAGCAGCAGATGCCCCCATGCCTCCCAGTCTTGCATAAAAGATATTGCTAGTGGTGTTGCGTAAGTCAAAGTTTGTTGGAAGTACAAATAGCACAGAGTTTCTTGTTACCAGCTGGATTAAAAGTGACTTTAAGTAAACTCAGAAAGCATAGAGGAACCAGAACACTCAAGTAGCAGATGGAGATTCAGTCTTTTTCACAATCCATTTCAAGCTGTTCCAGCATAATTCCCTTCCTTCTAGAAACCCTATCAGTCCTTCGCTCTTGTTCAAAACGTTAGCTGTTCATGGTTAGCCCTTCTTATGTAAACTAACATTTTTTTTTGGAGAGGATACAGTAGCACATGGCTTTAGAGCTGCAGTAGTAACTAACTACAGTACCTGCCTCGCTGTGATTTTGAAATTGCTTCTCTGGTGTTTCCGAACATTAATAATGTGTCAGATATCAGAATTTGTCGTATTGTTTGTGACTTTCTGATTTGGTAGGTGGGAGGAAAACCTGACTTTGGTTTTGGTTTGGTGTTTTTTTGGTGTTTTCAAGATTATTTTTTATTATGTGTTACTTTTTAGCAATTCCCCACAGTTTTCTCCTTCCTCAGTTTTCTTCCCTGTAGAATGGGCTTTGGAATAAATAATGATCTTTTAGTTTGGTGTCAACCCCAGGAGAATAAAGATGTGCTGGCTTCTTTGAAGTAAGTAGAAAATAGGCACGTGAATGTACATTGCCCCTTCTGAATGAAAAAACAGCTTATTCCCTGAATAAAAGAAGGTAGAAGTTTAATTTGGGCTACAAAATTGGAAATAAATTAGTTCTAAATCCAATTAACCTTGGCTGGTTTTATTCTCTCCCTGTTTGTTCTTTAGGTATGAACAACCTAAGTGTGATAACGGTGCCAGAGCTCACCCAACCAAAACAAAGGATTTGTACAAAGGACGCCAGCTTCAAGGTCAGTGAAATAGATAAATTTGGTTTCATGCATTCCAATGCTTTGTTTATTCACTGCAATAAATTAGAAAGCAATTTCTTACCCTATACCAAGACAATGTATCATTTAGATATCACTATATTGATTTGCCACTGACTGAAGTCTTTGGCTTTGGAACAATGTATGTAAATATAGGTCTTCGGATGTTGTCAGAGAAAGTAAGGCTCATTTTCTCAGTAGTTTAAAGGCAGTCACATTTACTTACTGGAATTATTCCTTGCTGTGGTCATACCAGAGAAGTCAGCAAATATGTCCAGAATAACTTGGCCCATACTTCATAATTCTTGTTCTAGCAAAATCCATGGGAAATTGGCCTCTATCTTCAAATCAGTCTAAAAAATGTATCATCTGCTTACTTTTTTCCAAGACTACCCTTGTCAGTTTACCTCAGAATAATATTATTTTATTCTTCTCTGTTGTAGGAACAAACCTTGGTGTTTATTAGATTTTTCATTTGTTCACACTTTTTATAAGCACATGAGAGATCTTATCTCTGGATAGCTGAGATACACAGAAGTCAGTAGACTTGCTTCATTTTTGAAATGGCCTTTTAATATGTTTGAATAACTTGAGGTGTAGCAGATTTAGTGATATTGCACGTTATGAGGGAATTATGAATCACTGTCAGCTGTTGTAAAGAACCAGAAACAAGCAAATAATGTGGGCAGATTTTTTGTATCATGAAAAACATTTCAGTTTGGCCACCCAGAGAAACATCTAGACAATAATTCTGAACTAAACATGCCCATCAGTGTTGAAATGCATATTGAATAAAGCACACATTGATAATCTCTGCCATTAAACAAATTTAATTACAAGGTATAATAAAAAAAAGAAATATGAATGATATGTTATTATACCATGCAGAATTATATGTTGTGTTCTACACAGAAAGGAGTCAATCATAGGATTAACTGTAAGCCGTCCAATTACTGTGGCTGTAAAAATGGCAAGTGTGACCCAAAACCATATCTAGCTAGGTATGATGGGACAGTCAGAAACAGGACAGACAAGGCAGACAAGGAAACGTTCATGCCATTTTAGATAGCACTATTCTTTTTTTCTGGATTTTATCTATAATCGTGGGTACAATTCTGGTCATCTGTGTTCAGGAAAATGGATACACAGGAGAAGTTAGCTAGCACTAATGTATCAGGGAAAGCAGCCACTTTCCAAGAGAAGGCAGCTAGCATTTGCTTCATTTAGACAAACACGATGAAGTCCAGAGGTGATATTGTTCCTCTGAGACCATGAGGAAGAGAAACTGGTTTCCTCTGTGACAATTTTGGCACAAGAAAAATAGATGTGAACTACCCTGAATGAATTTCACCTGGGAGCTGTAAAGTGGTTTCCAACCATTAAAGCAGTGAGGCAACAGCCTTCTAGTAATGGGGCAGAAAATCTGGTTAGTTTTTTAGGTAGATCTTGATTACTTTATGAAAGAGACAGTGGGAGACAGGGTCGAATGAGTGAGGTACTCACTCTGCGTTATGAATTATCACTTAAGATACTGAACATGTATGTATATTAAGAGATGAAAAGCTGATTTACACTAAAAATTCACCTCGGAGCATGAATTTCACAACTCTTACCAAATTGCCTCCATTTCTCTTCCTTCACAAAAAAGGGATGGAGCATGCCTGACTTGCAATTTTGCTGTTTAGCTGCTCACAGAGTTCAGCAAGAACCATATGTGCCGCATAAATCCTCAGATATGTGAAACATAGTGGCAAATACACATCTGTTGACAGTCAGATTGATGATGTTTATCCATCATTTCATCAGTCAGTACTTGCTTACTGAACTTAGTTACTGCTGTTGTAACTTCAGGGAAGTTAGGTATTTCAGGGATAATTTGGGAAATATTTTGGACGTTATCGCGGCCTTTCCATACTGAAAGGGGGCTTATAAGAAAGATGGAGACAGACTTTTTAGTAGGGCCTGTAGCAATAGGACAAGGGGTAACGGTTTTAAACTGAAAGATTCAGACTAGATGTAAGGAAGAAATTTTTTTACAATGAGGGTGGCGAAACGCTGGAACAGGTTGCCCAGAGAGGTGGTGGATGCCCCATCCCTGGAAACATTCAAGGTCAGGTTGGACGGGGCTCTGAGCAACCTGATCTAGTTGAAGGTGTCCCTGCCCATGGAAGGGGCGTTGGACTAGATGACCTTTAAAGGTCCCTTCCAATCCAAAATGTTCTAAGATATATTACAATCCTTACTCCATGGAAATCAGTGGAAAGTTGGCCATCTTCAACAATTTATTTCAAACAGCACTTGCATAGTTACAGACTTGGATAGTTAATTGATTTCATGAGTGTTTTTTCCAAGTGAAAAGAACTTGCCCTCAGAAGAGAGTATAGCAGAGCAGAAGCGGAAGAAACAAGTTTTGCACTAAAAGATATCACTTGCTGGTCACTCCTACCTTTTCCTAAAAATTTTGAAGAAGCATTTGCTAGCTGGAATCTTAGAGGGAGGATGGGCACGTGAAGGGTTTTAAGCTTTCACACATCTATTTCTTATCCAAACTGGTAGTGCTTTTATACAGTACAGTAATAAAGATTTATCCAAAGTCAAGATACTTTTCCAGTGAAACAATTAACAAGCACTTTCCATGCTGTAAACTCCTACCTGATAAATTCATTTTGATTTTCTTTTTCTACTTTATGATATTTTGCATTATGTGAGCTTTAGTCCAACAAACCACTGCAGCAATGTGAGCTCATAATTGTCATAAATTATTATGTATGACATGGATTTGCTCTCCCATATCTTACATTGCTTAATCTTTGACTTTGAAATGCTTTATATTATTTTAAAATAAGGCAAATACCAAAATTTCCTAACATTTCTTAAATACTTACGGATTAGCTAGAAAAACCTCCCTCTTCTACTCTGCAGCAGCATGGAATAAGTGCATGCCTATAGAAGTAACAGGGGGAAGAGGTTATGTCACAGTTGCAGTTGTATTAAGGTGTTTATTTTTCCTTCTGTCTCTTAAGGCTTTCTCTTTTCTGTTAAATGCCCAAGTCCTCAACTGGCAAATTTCTCTCTTATCATACAAACACTACATGAAGTAAAAATTAATTGAGTTTGCTTTAGATAGTTTTTTGGAAAAAGGAGGTTGAAATAGGATCTTACACAGATGTGGCTAGTTGTTAACAAGTAACGTAAAATTGCACAAATGGCTAATACTAATTAACTTTTTAGTAGAAATGAACCACTATCACTCAAAGTTTCCCTATTGTAAGCAGTGTTGCAAAGGCATGTTTGCATTTGTGTTGTCTAAATTTAAATACAGCATCTGATTGCCGAGTGGTGCCAGGACTGCATAAAAAATGTAGGTTGTGTACTTACTTTCAAGGAATAATACATTTTTGAAAGGATGTGTTTGCTTGATTTGCAGCTTATACCCACAAAAATGCAGTAGCCCTGGGTGAAACCACTGTGACTGCCTGCCATGTAAAACCAGGATGATTTGAAAACAATTACTTTACTACTATGGATGATCTTAAATAGGATAAAACCCACTAGTACATCCTCAGGTGGATTAAATTGGCATAGTTCTGAAGCTACGCAGATTTATACCACCTGAAAATTTGAACCCATTACATGTTGAGCCAAATATTTTTAGCAATAATTTGCAAATAAATCAAGATGCAGTTTTTGGCAAACACTGATATCTTGTTAAGGCAAAATTGTAGAAGGTAAGGGCCCCTTGGACTCTATGCCAAAATTCCCACTGATTTAAACTGAGCTAAGAATATATCCTCACATCTTAAGGGTAACTTAATATAAAGCATCTGAAATTGAAGGCTAATCTAATGTTTGTAAGAACGATCCAAGCCACCTGTATCTGTTAGATTGGGCTGGAAGTTATATAATAATAAATCTTCCCATTAGATTTCTAGGCCTTTTTTTAAAGCCAAAGCATTTTTCTGAAGTTACTTGTGGTTTTGATCCTTCTCAGAAACTAGTTATTCCAAGATAATGAAAATGAACCCAAAAAGGAGTCTAGAGAATGTCACATACTGGGGAAACAGAAGGATTTTTTACTTTTCTCACGATCAGAGTTTTCAAACGTTCCTATTTTGACCTTCTGGTCTCCTCTGTGTTATACAGTAAAATGGAAGCCCTGTGATGAACCGACATGTTCTGTAAAGAGTCGAATGTTTTATTTCAGACTTTTGGATAACTGGTGTGTTAAACAGAAATTCAGTTTTCTACACAATCTGGTCAAGAGCATTTAAAAGGGTATAGCATGAAGGCTGGTTAAGCTAAACCTGTAGTACAATGGAATGAGGTGTAGGTGCCCCTGTATTTTCCTAAAATCATGAGTGGTAATAGGTCAAATTCAACCAAGCTGAAGAAATACCAGTTCCTGGAACACAGGGTGGGTCTATGGGTGAAGGTATTTTCAAGCATTATGTGTATCCACTAGTTTTTAATAATCAGTAAAATATTTTTCAGCACGTACCCTCAATAGATGTATATTTATTTATAAATTATATAGATGTACTACTATACTAATATATTAAGTACATTTTAAAACTTACCCAAATATAGAAATTAAAAAAGGATGAAATAAAGATGAAATAAACACAATTTTAATTTTAAATTTTATTTTATTTATTAATAGTACAAAAAAATTTTCTTCCTGCATTCCAATTGATTGTCTTGTGCCCCCCCTGGGGTACATGCACCCCACTTTGGAGACCAGTGCCTTAGACAATGGATAAGCTACCTGTTCATAAAGCTAGTCTTGTCTCTGGTCTAAGCAACCTGGAAGAAAGGGACTTGGATATGTAAGAGAGCAAGACATGATAGCATATTGAGACAGTGCCAGACCACTCAGCTATTCTTACTTAACCTGGGAATTTATCTGTTTTTCCTGTGATATAATTTTCATTACAAGACCTGAAATTTGAAAAGTAAGTGGAAAAATTTGAAAAGTATTATGG